GCTCCAGGTCATTCTGTCGAAAACTTCTACAAAAATATGATCCAAATATTCCTGGACATTTTGATAAAATTTACAATAGGTATTGTAATCTAAAACGAACAAAATGGTTCAGAAAATAGTTTTCTATTTTATAGAGGATCCTTACCAATTCTACTCAAATGTTTAAATACTAATTATAAAATAAATTCTACAAGTTAAAAAAAAACAAACATGACATATGACAAGAAAAGTGGACAAGTGACAATTGACAAACGTTCCTAATCAGATTGTGATGTTCAGAGTAATTCTTGTATATACTTTTTCGCAAATTACTTTATTACGTTGTGTTAACATAAAAGATAGGTTAACTAGGTAAATAACAAATAGAAGTTTTGCGAGGTTTTAATTTCCCTCAACAACTTCTCATGAACGTTGCATTTACGTTGTATAGTAATGTTATTACGTTCCCTTAATGCAACATCGCCGAAGGGCTTGGCAACGTTATGTGCTAGCTGGGAAGGATCTAAGTTAATGTAATAAGTCCAATTCTTCAGCACTTGACTTAAAACTTCGAGTAGGAGTATACAAATCTAAGTTTCAGTCCGAGTCTGACATACATTCCTTACAAGATGCAGATGATGACGTATTGCATTCCTGGAATCTTCATTTGCTTCCAAGGGTGAACTTCGCTTTGGTTTTCTCTTGGAGGTGGGTTCTTGATTTGGAGAGTGAATAAACGCTTGAAACCGACGGGATCTTCTGAAGGACTCTTTCACTATTCTACTGAATGCGCCATTTACGAGTTTTGACTTTCAGACTTACTTTATAAAAACTAAAAACTTGATTTTAATAATTTGTATATTATGACTACAAAGTAAAATATATATCAGACTAAAGAACAGTATTGATTAACCATCTTTTTTTTAGATGAGGACGACAAATCTTCCTACTTGCCAGTAGTCTTCATCCTTCTCTACGTGATTGCATCCATGTTGGGAATGCTTTGCATTCCTTGGACCATGATGAGTGAATTATATCCTATAGAAATCAGGGGTGTAGCCAATAGTTTAGCTTATAGTATCGGAAACATAATGATGTTTGCGTCTATCCAAAGTTTTTATGGACTACTATCAATTTTTAATGGCGTTGCTGGAATTCAATGGTTCTTCGCAGTCATTTCTTTGTTAGCTTGTGTATATACCTATATTTTCCTTCCAGAAACTCACAGAAAGTCACTAGATGAAATTACTGATTACTTTATTGATAATAGTATTTATATTTTGTCGAAAAAGAAAAGTAAAGCACCGAAAATAACTAATGCTAATAGAATCGACAAGAAAGATTTAATTAAAAGTAATAATGAACAAAGTACAAAATTGATGGACAATGTATAACTAAAATTCAAACAATAGAGGTACAAAAGAAATTACAGTTAGCTTTACAGTAAAACCCAAGAGTATTTGTAGTATTTCTAGAATTAAATGAAAGTTCAAGAAATTTTCATTTGAATCTAAAATACTTGTTAGTTGATAATTATTTCCTTTTATTAATTTAAAAATAAGAAAACTCTATTTTGAATTGTATTTTTTAGAAACAATAATAATTACAGAATGACATGATAATTATAAAACCGTTCCATTTTTTATAGAATTAAAAAAAAAGAGCTTTATTACAGACTTTTATTCATTTTTATTAAACATTTCTCAGAAACTACATCACGTACAAAAAATATTAGACCAAAATTAAAATTTCAGTTCAATTTTTATTTGAACCTCATTTATATTATGATGTAGAAGAGACATTACGAAGCCACAAAAATAATAAATAACCATTTTGATTCAGTATATGAGAATAAACATGAGGCTAAAAGGAATTAGTTGCCAACCTGTAAAAAGAAAAAATATTTGGTTTATTTTTTGCATTGTTTAAATCAGCCAGGGGCGTGCGGTCTATGAAAGCGGGAGAAGCACCGCTTCCCTACACTTTGAGATTTAAAAATAGATATTTTTCAGTTTACAATGCGGAGAAATTAATATTAAATTAGGTACTATATTTTCTCTGAAACATTAAGTAAACTTTGTAAATGTACTAACAATTCATTGGTGTAATGTGTAAACGCACGCATCACCCATAAGAAAATTAATTATGTAAACGTACAACGTACACACCACATACTTCGAGTCCCTCGGCGGAAGCGCGTCTTGAAAGAGCCGGTTCATCTTCCAAGAGGTTTCGCTCATGGAGGTTTCGCTTTGTGTTATTGACCCTGCTTTGCCGCGACAATATTCAGTCCGTTTGGGAACGTGAAATACCGTCGGGAGGCAGCGATTTTTACGTCGCCTTACGCATATTGCAATTAGCACCACGAATCGACGTGTGAGAAAAATTGTAGAATGGAGGAACTAGGCACTGTGCCTGTGAACAATAATAATGTGGTAAATTGTGTCTGTATTGTGTGCTCTTTGTTGAAAAAAGGATTTTCAAGTAGAAATTTTGAAGAGAAAATGGACATTATTAATTCTAGTAGACTAAAGGATCCTATCAATTTAGAGACGAAAGTAGAAAAGTCAGCAAAGAAATTTACCAGGCATTTTCACGTAGGGTTCTATGAAAAGTATGAATGGTTAACCGGCTGCAAAACTTGTGAACTTGTTTTGCTGCCCTTGCCTACTTTTTAATATAGCCGAAAAGACACATTGGAACTCAGTCGGTATTACAGACTTGAATAATTTTCACAAAAGGGTAAAACGACATGTAAATAGCAAATCTCATATAAGTGCTACAATTAAAAAAAAAACATTCGGGACCTATCGCATTGAACATAGTTTGGTTAATCATTTAAAAATAAGCAACAAAATTCACAATGAAAGGGTAAAAAAATAGGGACGTCTTGCAACGATTAATAGATATAATTTGTTTCCTGGGAGAGCATGAACTAAGTTTTAGAGGTCACAATGAAGCAAGTGGATCCGCCAATCGAGAAAATTACACGGACCTTCTAAGTTTTTTAGCAAAATAAGATGATACCCTAAAAAATAATTTTATTGGTTCAACGACTTTCCGAGGTACCTCAAACAGAATCCAAAATGATTTAATTAAATGCACTGTGATGGATCACATTAAAAGTGAAATTAAAAAAGCACCTTTCGTATCAATTGCGCTTGATGAAACCACAGATGTAGTGAACTTAAGTCAATTATCCATTGTTGTGGATCGCATTCCTCAAGAGCGATTCTTAGGATTTTTGGACGTCACTAACGAACGAACTGCAGACGCATTGTATAAAATTGTTTGTGACATTATTTCAAGTTTAGAATGTGGTTCTAAGCTTGTTGCCCAGAGCTACGATGGTGCTGCCGTAATGGCTGGCCATTTAGGAGGCCTTCAAGCTAAAGTGTAAGAGAAGTTTAACCATGCAATTTTCGTTCACTGTATGCACATAGACTTTACAGCCTTATTCTGCAACTCTTAACGACATCGTTATAAAACGATTATCGTTAGCCAACGACTTTTCCGATTCTGTAAATCGCAACGATGTCCTTTTGTAACAACTATAAGGTTAGGTTAGCGTCGTTGTCAACGATACAGGTAAATGCTGTCGTTGTGATCGTTAAGCAAGCGGTCGTTCCAGAAAATATATCGTGCTAATTTTTTATTTACTAATATCTTCGAGGTGTATGTCCGTTTTAGGTAAAATAGAAATTTATAAATATAATGGAAGAACTGCAAAGAAGGTACGTATATGATAATCCTATATGTTAATAAAGTTTAAAATATACATTTTGCTCATTTTTTTATAGGCGTGCATACAATGTAAGATCCAGACAATTAATAGATGCCAGTAATTCATTCACAATGGCAGATGAATCATTTAGAAGACTGTATCGCTTCCCACGAGAATTGGCTAATCAGTTATTTTTGGAAATCTACCCCTTTCTCGAAGATGGAACTCGAGCAAATAGGATACCAACGGCCCTCAGATTATTGGTTTGTTTACACTTTTATGCACAAGGGAGTTATCAAAGATCAGTGGGAACTGATAGACACTGTTGCATGTCTCAACCAGCAGTGAGTAGGTGCATAAAAGAAGTGACCAATTTAATTATTGTACATTTTTCCGGACGACTCATTAACTTTCCGAGAACCTTGGATGAAATCACAAACGTGAAAAATGGTTTTTTTGAAAAATTCAACTTTCCGGGGGTAATTGGCATTGTAGATGGAACTCACATTTCCATAGTAGCACCTAAGTTTGGGGAAAATCCACCGAGAGCTGTTTTTTTAAATAGAAAAAATTATTACAGAATAAATTGCCAAATAATTTGTGACTCAAATTTAAAAATACTTGCAATTTGTGCCAGACATCCTGGAAGTGTCCATGATTCTGCCATTTGGTTAATGAGTAACATTTTCATGGAACTAAAGAATCGTTATCGCAATGGTGAAAGAAATTCATGGTTACTTGGGGATTCTGGTTACCCAGTACAGCCTTTCTTGTTAACACCCATTCTAAATTCAGAAGAAGGTACACCAGAAGGTAGGTACACACAAGCCATATGCTTAGCAAGAAATTGTATCGAGAGATGCATCGGAGTGTTAAAAGGAACATTCAGATATCTTTTAAAAGAAAGAACACTTCACTACACACCAGACAATGCTGCAAGAATAGTTATTGCTTGTGCTACATTGTATAATGTTATGGGGAATGCCAATGTAGACATGGATTACTATGCTTTTGATGAAGATGGTGACGAGGAGAATAGACATATCGATGGCCAAGAACTGCATCAAGTTGGTTTGAATATACGAAATAATTTAATAGGAAATCATTTTATGCAATGCTATTATTCCTACAGTTTTTATGTAATACTTGCTTACAGTTGGAATTTTCAATAAACTTTGGAAACTTTTAATTTTTATTTATTTAAAATCGGAAACATAAAACAAACAATAATTATTTTTATAACTTAAACTTAAAAACACAGTTAATTTCTTCTGCCTATATGTTACAGATTAAATAATCAGTCTTCCTCAGATCCCTCATTTTCAGAGGCCAGCTCAATGTTATATTTTAAACGAAGTTTTAAACGTTCTAACCGAAGTTCTTTCTCTTTCAGTTTTACTAACTTTTCCAAATTCATATTTATTGAATTTAATACATTGGTATTAGCTCTTGTTGTAATTTTCTTTCTTGCTCTTTCTTCTTGTTTTTCTTTCTCTACAGCTTTAGCTTTCTCTACTGCATTATCTATATTTTCCATATTATTTATTCCAATTTCCGGAATACCCTTTATACCCCCCACTGCTATATCTCCAGTTAGAAACAACAATTTTTTTCTATTTCTGTTAAATCTTTTTCTGGATCTCTCACATTGCCAGTTTCCTTCATGAAATTCCTGATGAGGCGAGCTCTTTTACGCACTTGGCTTTTCCAATCAGTAAATACCTATAACAATGAATATTATGTACATATCCCATGAACAATTTTACCACATTTATAGAAGTAGCTGTATATTTGTTATACCGCCTTGTGTAATTTGCTAGATGTAGCCAATATTATTCAACATTTTTTAAAAGGTCAAAGTGAGATAACATCCTATACATGAAATAATTATTTTATTTAATTCCATTAATTTATATTACTCTTTTCCATTCTGCGATATTTCTCTGAGGTCCACCACTTCCATTCAAGCTTTTTCCTAACTTTTCCCAACTGTCTGTTAGCCCAGTTGGATTATCTGGGGCTATTTTGTTTTCCCGGAAGTGGACATTGGATTCTAACATTTCCAAATATAATCTGTATTGGTCCGGAGTCGTTTTCATTTTTCTTGTCTTTTTTGATTGCGGTTCAGATCTGGTGAAACATTTACAAATAATCATTTTTTTTTAAGTTTTTAAAAGAAAATAAAATATTGCCTTAATTTAATAAATAGGTACTTACGTATTATCCATGTTGAAATTCGGAAAATATTTTATGAAGATTTATCTTTTCAATGGTTTAAAAATCTATACAAAAGTCAACTTGAATGATGGTTCAAATGAACTATTTTGAATATTAATCCCACTCATATCAACTAGCGTATATAGACTATACTAAAAACATTGGTTAGCTGTCGTTAGCGTGAATTTATGAAACGACATCCTTACAGAATAAGGTTTCCGTAAAAAGTCGTTGGAGATCCATATCGTTAGTTGACGACATCGGTACATAACGATAAGTTACAGAATAAGGGGGTTAATTTGGTTTTATCGCGAAGCATGGATAATATTAAAGATTGCAAAGTTTTCTTTTCGACATTTAGTGCTTTGGCTTCCTTCTTTTCAAAGTCATCGAAAAGAACTCGCGCTTTGGACATTCACGTTCAAAAAAGGTTTCCAAAAGTTGCTCCGACGCGATGGAACTACAATGGACGTTTAGTGCAAACAGTATTTCAATACCGTGATTCTTTGATACACTTTTTTCTCAAGACGTTTGGGATAATAAAGAAATATGGGATGCTGAAACTGTTACTGCCGCTAAAGGGTAATTGCATTGGCTCAAAAAAAAATTTTATTTTCAATTTTTTGCTGAACATTTTTGCAGAGATTTTCCCTTTTACTGACATTTTATTCGACATTTTACAGACAAAGTTAAATGACATTGGCTTTTGCATTAAACAAATTGATAATTTTAAAAATAAAATGAATAAAAAACGAGATTAGTTTGAACACTTTTGAAATAAGACTCAAAACATTGGCTTAGAACCTGAAAGAAAAAAAATTAGAATTGATAATGTCGGCAACAGAGAGACCTCCTATCGTCGGTTATACGCCGACATTTTTGATAATATTTTACAACAAATAAACTCTCGATTTCAAAACTTTAATGAATTAAAATTTGCTGAATTGTGCAATTTTAATATTAGTAACTACGATTTATCAAAATTTCCACCAGAAGCTTTTAATTCACTAAAATTAAATTATGGAAATTTTTTCGATATTCCAGCATTCAAGTCCCAGTTAAGTGTTGTTTATGAAACAACTGAAATTATTGATCGCCCATCAATGTGTTAAATTTTCTTATAACAACTGGTTTAAATAAGTCCCTTTGTGAAGTCGTCAAGTTGTGTGAATTAGTACTAACCATCCGAGATGCAAGTGCGTCAGTTGAGCGAGGTTTTTCAGCTTTAAAGCGCATTAAAAGTTTTATACGAAATTCAACACGTAAAGACAGATTCTCTAATTTAATTGAAAAACAGCTTGTTAAACAGTTATCAGAAAATCCAAAATTTTACGACGATGTTATTGACAAATTTGCAACTATTGAGGATAGGCGAATAGATCTTAAGTAGGTATAAATAAATGTCAACTGTGCGAAAAATGCTGCAAAAAATAAAAAAAAACTTCAGTTAAATGTATTTTTTACGTTTAAATAAACCAAAGAAGCTTTTCATTGGTAAGTTTTTTTATAGCTTCTAGTACTAAACTAGGTAATAAAGTAATAGTAACACTTCAAAAATCTCAATCTCGAATATCCGTAGTACTGAGAAAAAAAAAAGCAAGATTTTGAAAAAATGGTGAATGCGCCGCAAAAAATTTTCGTCTGCGGCGCTGTGTTTACTGGCCTGCTATATTTTTATACAATCACTTCCCCTTCCAAAAATGTCACCGCACGCCACTGCAATCAGCACTAGATGACAATAAGCAGTTTAGTAATTTAAGTCTTGTACTTTAAAAATTGTACACGACGAATTATTTGATATTCCATTGTTCCACTCAATGTATATTCAATTTGTAATTAATTTTAAGTGTGTTCACACATGATTCTAAAATTTTTGAAATCACTTTGTACTTGGGATTGTAATTATTGCATATCTGTATATTCTGAGAAATGTTTTAATGTATCATTCGTAGAAAGTTCTAATACCTGCTGCTGTTGTTGTAAGGAGTATTCAACAATATTCTTATCCGATGTGATCAGGTAAAACAATTTTTTTAATGAAGCCATTCTTAGTGACTTCTAGACAAATTAAGTGTCAGTTTTATCAAATACGTAAATGACATTGTTTTAGGGTTACTATTGAAGTTATTAGAGAGTTTTTGTCAAAGACATTACAACATAGAGACAAAATGTTTCATTCATAAATCCCATACAATTGTGGACTTTTATTGTTTTAAAATTGTTAGTGAGTGGAAGAGAGAAAGACAGATCTCTTAGGACCGGCTGGCAACGTTGTAAACAGTGTCCATAATATGCTCGCCAGTGGTGTAGAGTTTTAAACTTACCAGTATTGTCAGAGTAATATGTTAAAAAAATACGTAAATAAGTAGGTATATTTTTTTAGTAATATAATGATGATTTTTTCATGTAGTTACCAAGTTACCTTCCGATTTTTAATATTTATTGGTTTATAGTTTATTGGCATTTACTATATATTTGCCTGGTATGATGTTAACCAAAATTATTTAAAATTTTAAATTAACATTAAGTAGGTAGGGGTATCTAAAAACACTGTCTTAAAAATATATAATTTTTTAATTAATAATTACAAAAAACATGGTATGGCAAAAAATATCGTAAAAAACAGAACTACAAACCCATACATTAGATGTACATACATATAGGTAATAAATAATGTTTAGAGGTAAACAAAAAATTAATATTTTGTATTTTTACCTGAAATTCAAGGAAAGATATGATAAAACAAGAAACTGCAGAGTTGCCAGGGAGCTTTTAAGTTTTAACACTGCAGCAAACAAATACTTGACCATGACAAGACAAAATCTGCGCCTAGTCACATGCATTCTGACTGGTCAGTGCCAAGTACGGAAGCATCTCCATATCCTCTACGATTGCTCGATACTCTCATTTATTAGGAGATTTGTGTTCGGCGAGTATCGGCTAATACCGGCCGATATAAGAGAAGCACCTCTTGGCGACATTATCAACAACATTAAATCTGTAGGCTGGCTCACGAGCTAGGAGATGCCTATCATTTTAGGAGGTTGCACAATAGGCCTAATAAGGCCTAAGTGCTGTGGGGGTAACTCACCCTCCACACGTTACAGATACAATAAATTGATTTCGGTTTTGATTTTGACCATGATTTTCGGGGTTTAGGACATTTGTACGTGGCCGTTTCGGCGTGGCCATTTCGACGTGGCCATTTGGACGTCAGGCCATTTCGCCGTTGGCCGTTTCGGCGTCGGCCGTTCTGGCGTCGGGAATACTATTTTTTTGTATGTATGGTAAAACCGCTGTAAGTTTTATTATGAAATAAGTAACGTATTGAAATAAGTGAGGTATTGCATAGGAATGGGATAAATGTTTTAATCTGTTTTTCAAGTACCTATCAGAATTATAATAGTAGTGTAATTAATATTTTATATGAACATTAGTATAATAATAGTGAAGTAAAGAAATTGTTCCAAATTTGCAACCCAGAGTAATATATTGCGATTTCGAACAGGCGTTACTATAAATGTTTGTTTTTTTCACTTGGCCCAAAATATGAGGAAACAAGTGGCTTCTATGGGACATACGAGAGAGTACAATGCTGATCTACAATTCTCTCTAAATGGCAGAACGGTGATATTTTTGGCATTTGTTCCTACGATCATTTAGATTATGCCTCTGATGTTCTAGCGGAAGACCTTCCTGCCGAACAGCAATAGTACATAGACATTTTATTTTAGTCTTCCTTTCGACACGAAAACAGTTTTATTATTTAATTATAATAAACCTAATTATAATAAATATAACAATTACTTTTGCCAAAACTTCCAAAGCCGAAATGGCCAACGTCCAAATGGCCGGCGTCAAAATGGCCGACGTTAAAATGGCCGACGTCCAAACGGCCACGCCAAAACGGCTACGCCGAAACGTCCCATTCCCTGATTTTCGTGATGATTTCGGAAATTTCTAGAGAATGTGTAAAGATTTCGGTAATTTCGAGTGAATACGTACCTGTATTTCGGGAGTGGTTTACTCTTCATTTTATACGAAATAAAAAGCTCGTTTTGGATGAACTTTTTGACAATTTTGATTTAAAATAAATAAGGATTTGTTTATAAATGCGAAGTTTTGTGATTTGGTTTTTTTTATATTTTTTGTTATTAGTAAGAAAACCTAACTATATACTTCATTATAATACTTTTTATTTGAATTGTGATTAGATATAATAAAACGATATAATAATAATTAAAATATATTTCAATCAACATATAATTGTCTACCAAAAACACAAAACATTAACTCCTAAAAATTCGGAAAATTTAAAAAACTACTGACGTTGACTATATTTTGCACTAGCCATTACAGTTCACCCAACAATATTCTAACAGTAGCGTTAACTTTAGTAAAGATCTTACATAAATTTGCTAAAACTCTCAATTAACAACTGGATCACATCATTTTGGTCATGTGAGTATTGTTGAAGACTCTGTATTATTTAGTAAAACAAGAAATGGTATTTAATTTCTTTGGATAAATCGTTAGCAACAATAAAGTTATACAAAAATATTGTAGTTACCTATAAATTATAGTTTATACCTATATAAACTATAGTTTATTTATACTTAGGTACTTATCAAATATACAGTACAAATTTTAATAAAATACGATTAAAAACCAAAAATGATACGAACGATATTTTTGAAAATAAGATTAAGTTTTAATTGTCTTTAAAAGAAAGTGATGGATAGTGATAGATAATGTATATATTTTTTTAAGTGTTACTACACAATAAAGTGCTTTTTAATATTTTTGTTTTGTATGTACCTACCTAGTTGACACATATTTATACCATGAGAAAAAGTACTTATAATTAATCCCTGATTTATTG